GCCTTCTCCTCCCCCTCCTCCTCCTCCTCTTCTTCCTCCTCCTCCTCTTCCTTCTTCTCCTCCTCTTCCTCCTCCTTCTCCTCTGCCTCCTCCTCTTCCTCCTCCTCTTCCTCATCCTCCTCTTCTTCCTCCTCCATATTCTCCTCTTCCTCTTCCTCCTCTTCCTCCTCCCCTTCTTCTTCCTCCTTTTCTTCCTCGTCTTTCTCCTCCTCCCTCTTTCTTCTTCTGAGACAGGGTCTCATGGATCATAGACTAGCTTCAAACTCACTAGATAGCCCAGGATAGCTTGTGAACGTTCTATCCTCTTGCTACTGCCTCCATGTGGCACGTGCCACCTTGTTCAGTGCATGTGGTGCTGGGGATCCAACCCAGGGTGACTTTGTGCCTAACAGACAAGCACTTTAGCAGATGAGCTATTGCCCCACTCAACTAGGAGTGATTTTTTTTCTCTCACTCTTGTCCTACCCAGTGGACACCTGACAGTGTCTGGAGACATTTTTTTTTTTCTACAGCTGGAAGTAGGCACGCCTCACTCAACTAGGAGTGATTTTTTTTCTCTCACTCTTGTCCTACCCAGTGGATACCTGACAGTGTCTGGAGACATTTTTTTTTTTCTACAGCTGGAAGTAGGCAGATGCTGCTGGCAAGTAGATGCCAAGGGATGCCACTAATTCTCCAAAACTGCACGGAGCAGCACCTCACACTGGTGAAGAATTATCCAGACCAAAAGATATATGAGGCCGAGTGAGAGAAACCATGATGTATTAAATTGATAAACTGGAATTGAATTCTTTAAAAAAAATTTTTTATTTATTTGATGATGATGACGACGACGATGACGATGATGGCGTGCGTGCGTGCATGCGTGTGTGTGGTGGTGGTGTGTGGTTCAGCAGGCTAGAGAATGATCTGACTTAAGTACTGCCAGGACAGGGCTGAGTGGAAAGGACAAGCCAGTGCAACTCAGACAACAGCACCAAGTATGAAGATGGAAGGAAACCTGGACATTCAAGGACTTCTCAGGTCCCAAGTCCACATGAGGCTCAGTCAGATGAGCTCCTGGCTAGTGCTGGTCCTGAGTACCTTTGCCCAGCAACCTGTGTAGATGCAGTCTCTGGCCAGTTCTGATTTAACTCCAGCATGTACTGAGCTCCAGGATTCTCCTGACAGTGAACGTGGTGGCAAGTCCTGTCGCCTTATACACACCATCTGCACCTCTTTCGACTGTCCCCACTGCAGCAGAGCTGTCCACTAGGAGGCTTCCTGGCCTGCGGTAACACTGAGATCTTCCTGATTATGGCATTGCCCAGCACCCTGCCTAGCAACTCCAGCTTCTTTCTGAGGACTATGAGGAAGCCCTTCCTGACCTTGACCCTCTAGCAGACTCTGAGAGTCTATGTAGTAAAATCCAAGTTTCCATTCGGCCCACCCCTGCTGCCCTGACCAGACTCCTTGCACCATCCCTCCTTGGCTCACAATTCACCCATGGATGTCACTGAGATGTCCTGTTCTCATTCCTTTGTTTTCGGGGCTCTGGGTCTAAAATGCTCTTCCTTCCATTGTTTGTCTGCTCCATGACCCTGTTCAAAGGGTGTTACTCCAAGAGATCCTCCTCTTGAATCACTCTACAGTGGGCACTTCCATCAAGCATCATATTGCCTCAAAGAGATGAAAGGTGGTTCTTGGGGGAATGAAAGAATTACTCTTTTAATACGTAAAACATGGATACATATATAGAACATAAACACACACACCATATTAAAAATTTGAATTTCATGGAGGGTTCATGAGACAAAAGATTCCTTAGGGAGGTGATGATGAAAAAGAGGCGAGGCCGGGGAGACACTGCTGTGAGTGAACTAAGTCTCCACACTCCATCACTGACACAAATCCTCAATTACCTTTTGTTATCCCTTGAATCCGAAATGTTCCCCACAGGCTCATATTTTAGGTGTTTGTTCCCCAGCTGGTGAGTGAGGCTTTCTTGGGAAGCTATGGTATTTTTAGGAGGTGGGGCCCAACCCCACCTGTCGATGCAAGTCATTAGGAGTAGGCCTTTGAGGGTGCCACCCAACCCCCGGCTCTACCCTTGCTCTTGGCTTCCTTTTGTATACTGTGGTGACCTAACAGCCCATGAGACCAGGAGATAAAGTAATTCTTTTGTCTCTCAGGTTGTTTATGTCATGGCAATTTTCCTTTGTGTTTTTGCCTACTCCAATATGTTCTGTCCCTTTACATGCCTCTGATCATAAACTCTATAAAGTCCAGCGATGTTAACTCTATTCTTCACTGTCTCTCCAGCATTTGCCCTGTACTGGGCACATAGTAATTATTCAGTAGGTATTTAGAGAATCTCGTACCATTTTGTGCACAGAATGTTGTCAAATACTTGAACAAGCACTACTTGGGCCATCTGGATCCCATCTTGGATTTTAATCCTCACATGCTACCAGCTCTGTTGGGTCCCTTTGGGCACCAAGTTTAAGTTTAAGCTCCTTTTCTGTCCCCAGAATGAGATCTAGCCCAACCATCTCAGGTTTTCTCTCCTCCCATATCCACGTAGCCCAGCCACTCACTGGTCACGGGCACGGCACTGCGAATACCATATGGATAAGTGACTCATTAAATTGAAAAGATTTTCAAGGAAATAATGATAAGAGGCTAACCATCATAGCAATTGCACAGGACAAAGCATGCATTATTGTCTGATTTACTTTAGCAATAAATTGAATCACTGTGAGGATCTGTAATTAAAAAAGATGAGAAGGAAACAAACTGAAATGTTAACCACATTATCCTTCTCTGGAATTCAGGCATGCAGTTTATTTTCTATTATGCTGTGGTTAACTCAGTCCTGTACTGGACATGTATTTCTTTTATCATGAGAAACAAGGCCTTTTGGTAGCTTTTTAAAAAAAGGCTGTGCATGTGCATGATACGTCAATATTAGAAAGATAAATGTAGATATATTCCAAATCTCTAAGTCTAAGCCCTGCTGTATTTGACTACACAGTTACCAAGCCCCACAACACCTTTTTTTTTTGGAGAATTTCTGTGCTTAGACAAAGCATTGCATTCCGTCCTCTTAATCCATCAGGCAAGCAGCAACATCTTCCTTGAGATACCCACACTCCTATGCCATAGAACTTGGTGTTTGTTTGAGGTTTTAAAGGTGCCGGTAGCTCCTAGAAGCATTAAAGGATTTGTTCCAGGCTTGGGATATGGCTCAGTGGGCAAAATGCTTGCTGTGCAAGCATAAGGATCTGAGTTCCGATCCCTAGCACCCATGTACAAGTTGGGTATGATGGTCCATGTCTGTAACTCTAGTGCTGGAGGTTGGCAGTAGAGAGATGCAGGCCCAGGGAGCTCACTGGCCAGCCAGCCTAGCCTAAATGCCATGCTTCAGGTTCAGTGAGAGACTATGTCTCAAAACATAAGGTGGAGGGCTATAGAAGATGACAGCCAATGTTGATACCTGGCCTCTACACATACACACATAGGCAAGTGCATACACAGACACGTATATACACATGCACATGTACATCCCCCCATCCATAAGTGCTTGTTCCTTCAGGCACTTCACCCATGAAAAAAATGCAGGAGAAACCAATAACACAGTGCACACAATCTTAAACATTTTGGGGGCTTCGTGACTAAAGAAGATCTGAATTGTCGCCTGAAACCCAGATCACACGTTTCCTTTGCTCTCACAAGGAATAGTCAAGATGGATTTCCTGAACATTCAACCTTTCTTTCATCCTGAAGAATTTCCTAGACTGTCTCCCCCTCACTTGAATCCCACATGACCAATCTAGCCAGTTCACAGGTTAACATCCTTAATGGTTACACTCAGGTTCTTAATTTTTGTGTTATTTTGTGTTTCGAGACAGGGTCTCCCTGTAGCCCCAGCTGGCCTGGAACTCCTCTGTAGACCAGGCTGGCCTCGATCCCATAGAAATCCACCTGCTTCTGCTTCCCAAGTGTTGGGGTTAAACGTGTGTGCCACCATGCTCTACTGAAGGTTCTTGGTTTTTTTCATGGTTTAGAAATATATTCAAATACTAGAACTTTTAGCAGATTCATTAACAACACCACCACTACCCAAAACTCTAAAACTCAGTCCAGCACGAGACTGAACAGAATTACAGTGTCCACCATGATAGTCTGACAGTGTCTCGAAGAGGAATAAAATACCTAGCTCCATCATATCAGATACTCCCAGGACTAAGCAACCCCGACATCAATCTCTAATACATCCATACAGCAGCAATATTTACAACCTTCCACCAATAAGCACATCCTCTTGTATTCAAGGTGAACCAAGCATTTCTACTCAAATTTGGTATCTTTCTTAGGAGGAAAGGGTTCATGTGGAAATGGTGGAGGAACAGGGCTTGAAAACTACTTAGGAACTTGAAGTGGTCCTTATACCAAAACCACTGTGAACCAGTGATGTCCAACATGTGGACTCCATGTGGCCAAGGAGAGCCGTAAATGTGCCCCAACCGACAATCATAAACTTACTTAAAACACAGTGATATTTTTTGTGTGTAATTTATTTTTTAAATGTTATTTATTTAATTAATTTTTAGACAGGGTCTCACTATATAGCCCTGGCTTGCCTGGAACTCACTATGTAAACCAGGCTGGCCTTGAACTCACATAAACCTGTCTGCCTGCCTCTGCCTGTCTGTGATTTTCTTTTTGTCTGTCTACTTCCTGACTGTCGAGCATGAACTTCCAGATGCCAATGCCTGGGGCTGTGATTTAGAATCTTTGTTTAGAACAAACCTGGAGGAAAATCATTTAGTAAAAGACTGTCTTTGGCAGCCCAGAGCTACGAGGAAGAAACAGAGGGTGTTGTTTGCTTACCTCCTCCAGGGCCCATAAAGAATCCACCACAGGCTTGATCTTCTTCTGGTTGTACAACCCTATGAGTTTCTCCACCACTCCTCGGATGAGGCCCGAGCGGCCCTGCTTGAAGAGCAGGTTGAGGAGGGAGAACCCTGCGATGACTTTGTTTTCTTCATACAACTTGATGGGGTTCACTTTCTCCACCTGCCACCACTGTAAGGAAAGAAGGTGCAGGGTTACAAAGTCTCAACATGGAGTCACATCCTGCGGTATTACCAATGTTATGTAGTCTTTGGAATTCAAGAGTTGGTGTCTGCAAATTGGCTCAGTGGTTGAAGGTGCTTGCTGCCAAGCCTGAGGACCTGAGTTCGATCCCTGGTATCTACATGGTGGAAACAGAGAACTCTCTCCTGAAAGTTGTCTTCTGACCTACACATGTGAATGCACACACACTCATAAATGTAATTAAAATTATTTTTAAAGTTCTGGAATTGAGTGTCACTCATCTGTGCGATCCTAGGCTACTCCCCTAATCTCTCTGTGTTGGGTTTCCTCACAGTACCTTAGAGGGAGGAGGGCCGTTGTAAGAAGTAAATGTGTTCATACATGTGAGACACGCTACAACAGAGCCTAACATCAGGCGTTCCATAAGCAATACAGATTTAATTGCATCTTAATCCAAAAGGTACATTTTGGATTTAGTGAGCAAGAGCTTGGAGTCCGATTGCTCTCTAAATGTTAACTTCATTTGTAGGGAGTATCCTCATCATGGCCTGAATGCCAACAGCAGGCCTGACAAAGCCCAAAGTCCTGGCTTTGCTGCAGGCTTAAGATAGAGCGTAATTAAGATAGCTGAGTGAAAGATCTCTATATGATTCTAATGTGCCTTTCTTGATTGCATAGAATTTTTTCCTAGAGCAAAGCATCATCACACTTCTTAGAAAAACCTCTTCAATTTACTTCTAACCAATCAACCTGTATAGAACCAGCCTCTGATGGAGAATGGCCTTCACTCGTGACCTTTTGCTACAGAGCTGAATGGCACCCGTTTGGGGAACAGGAATCTGAGCCTCCCTCCTGGCTTGTGCTCTTATAAATGCCTTCCCTGAGCATGGGCATACTGCAATTATTTCATTAGCACTGTGTGCTGGGATTGGGCATTAATGGGAAGAAAAGAGCAAACACTTCTTACAGTACATGTAATTTGGGACCAGCGTGATTCCCTAGGAGCACTCTCTCAGCATCATGTTAATTGTAACCACAGCAACCAAACAGCTGTGAGTGGTACAGAGCTTGTTTTCAGGGACAGGTAGCAGACAACATCCTTCAAGAGGCCCCATTCTCACTCCTATAGACACTGAAGTTCAAATGATTCTTGACCTATACTTTAAGCCCCAAGGCAAAAGGAGTTCCTTAAATTCTGGTCTCATGTATAGAGGGGGTGCTGGCCTTCCAGGATTAGTGGATGTTTGGGGGCGAAGTATCTGGCAGTCAGTGTGAGGACAGAGAGCCTATAAATACTCCTGTGATGGTCGATATTGCCAACTTGACAGAATCTAAAAATCACCTTGAAGACAAATCTTTCTATGTCTGTGAGGGAATTTCTAGATCGGGTTAACTGAGGTGGGAAGACCCACCCTAAATGTGGATGGCACTATCTCATGGCTGGAGTCCCAGACTGCATAAGGGGTAGAATGTGAGCCGAGCAGCAGCTTCCTGACTGCGTATGCAACCTGAGCACCAGCCTCACACTCCTGCCACGATGCCGTCCCCGCCATGCAGGGCTGTATCCTGTGGGGCTGTGAGCCAAAATAAGCCATTCCTTACTTGAGTTGCTTCTTGTCATATTTGGTCGTAGCAATGAGGAAATTAGCTAATAGAACTCCATACCGCTAGTGAATTCTATTCTCCCCATCTCATTTAAAATGCTTCCATCCCATCATGCCTCCTTCCATTTTGGCATCCTGCTTCTATTTCCTTTTTAAGCTATATGTCATTCACAGTCATGTTACCAATAAGTTAATGTCTTCCTTATGTTGAGTCTGTCTCCTTGAGTAGAATGTAGGAACCACAAGGGTCCTGCATGTATGTCCCGTTCACTGAGATAACTTGATAGCTGGTGCAATGTCCCCCACAGTAGATGTTCAGAAAATGTCCGTACAGAGGGACCGGAGAGATGGCATAATGGTTAAGAGCATTGGCTGCTCTTGCTGAGGACCTGGGTTTGATTCTCAGCACCCACGTGGTGGCTAGCAACTGTCTGTAATTCCAGTTCCAGGGAATCCAATGCCCTCTTCTGACGTCTACAGGTACCACATGGCACTGGTGCACTTACATACATGCAGGCAATACACTCATGCGCATAAAATAATAATATATATATATATTTTAAAAATGCCCATACAGTGATGTTTGTTGTTGTAGAACAAGATCCTCTGAGCAAAACACCTGCTATCTTCACCAGACCAGCTATGCCTGCTTGTCCATGATGCTCAGGCTTGTTGACTGTTGACACTCCTTCATAGAAGGAATGGGTAGAGAGGGTTGTTGGATTTCTGCTGCTCCCCCCAGCCACTTGTATGCAATTTTTTCTAATTGCTTGTGACCTAGGTGCAGTTAGGATGTGGTAGAGTACATAGGTTGAGGAAAACTAATGGATGAGGGCTCCATCTATGTGGCAATGTGGAAGCCATCATCCATGATGAGTGTAGACTTTCCTACAACCACTTTAGGGTTACCTACACTCCTGCCGGTATCCCCTTCAACTCATGCTCCATAAGTAAGCCCAATAAATCCACTGGCTCCCTATGGTGAACTTTGCTGGAACTGTACTTTGGTTTGTCTTTGGGACCTTAGGAGGGAGGGGAGAGATGCTTATATCTCCCAGGGAAGGAGTCCTCACCACACTCATCCATTAACCTATCAATGTTGCATTGTCTACACCAGAGGCTGAGAGTGGAGGGAGCAAAAGCTAGCACTTGTAAGAAACAGTGTCCCCTGCTCTGATGGGTAGGCTAGAAATACAATCAAAAGCCCAAGTAAATGTAACTCTAACATGTACAGCTCTGTGTGGGGAGAAGCATCTGAGCAGGTGTGTTGTTAAGAAGAGCTCCTCAGTGGTGGACAAAGTAATCACATATTCAGACCTTTTTAAAGTTATGGGTTTCCCCTTTCTATCTCCAGCTAACAGGTTGGGGGCACACAGAAACCTCAGGTGCCCCCAGAAACATGGCCAAGAAATGGTAAAACTGGAGGGCTGGCTACTCTAGGGAACGGGTACAGTACAGTTCACTTTCAACTGATGTTTGGAAATACTAATTTTGAAAGAATCTCAACTGAAATAAAAAATGAAGCTTTCCAAAGTTTTACTGATGCCCCCACTTCTCTACTTCATTTAAACAGAAGTAGATGCAGATGACCAGCAATGGACCAATGTCTTTAGATGGCTCTCCTGACATGCGGATTGACATTTGCTATCATCCAATAGGCAGGCATGGGTACTTACTGACTTTGCAAAGCTGAAGAAGCTCTTGGTCTCTCCAGTTACCATGTTGGATGAACCTGCAAACAGAAGATTCCCAAATCAAACAATTGCCCATGAGAATCAACATCTCTTCTCATTCATGCAAGAATGGCAAGTGTTTGTGCACATGTGTCAAAAGCTCAAAACAAACTCAGTTCAATCTTGAAAAAATGAGAGGCACAGGAATGGGTCATCAAATGGATTATTTGGCTAGGTGTCGTTGGTTCAGAGAGGATGTGACTTTTTTTCACAGTGACCTCTTCATTCCTTGGGTAACCAGGCATGCAGCAAACGTGATTAGTCCACCATTTTAATAAACTGACACCGCATTTTGGCTCTGTTTATTGAAACCAAGAAATGAACTTCTGTAGGAGACTGCTTCATAGATTTGAATTTGATTCTCTGGTAAGTGAGAGGCTTGGGCTCTGACCTGGGCTGGGCACTGAAGTGGAGGAGGGGAATTTGAACGGATGGGAAAAAGAAGTATAGAAAATACAGACAAGGGAAAAATTAAGTCTAGAAGCCCAGGGAATGAACTTGTCAGCTCCAAAGAGGTCCAGGTAGAAAGGTGAGGAACCACTTAGGACAGAACATTGGGAATTGCTTTTGGACCAAGCAACATTCAGATGCCAGATGAAGTGGAGCTGGGAAAGATCCACTGAGGTGCTCAGAGAGATGCCGCCCCTTTGTAAGACTCCTGGGGTGGGAGGGTGTGGGGTGAGGAACCCTTGTCAATATAGAGGAGAGAATATCCCATTTAATTGGCCCCTTTTCAATGACTTTTCTGCTTGTAACCAGAGATTTTAGTGTGTTTGTCTTAGAGAACAGTTATCTAATTTTAAAAAATGCATATTTTAAGACCCAAACCTTTTCCTCCAAATATAAGATATGAAGCACTTCTGGGCTTCTGTATTTTGGGTAAGGGATGTTAAACCTGTATTTAAAGGCCTTTCATGAGGGACTGAGGGGACAGGCAAAGGCAGGATAATAGAAAGGGGATGATTCAAAACCAAGTCTAGCAACATGTACTCATGAAGGGTTATGATGAAACCCATCACTTTGTATGCTGGCCTAAAATTATTAATAAAACAATAAGTACATTTGAAAAAGAAAATGCATATTTTAAACCTAACCACTTGGTCTGGGTAAACTGTTGGCCAATAAGTTACCCACTCCCTCTGTTTTTATGGGGTGATTTCTTCAAGGGATTACAGCACCAGCCTTCCATTATGCAGTAACCAAGTAATCAGTGTAATGGGTTAGATGATTGTGAGATAATCAAGTTGAAGTTCACCCAAGTGAGATCATGCAACTGAGGTAAAATAGAAACCTGGGTGTCTGTGAGGCGAAGATGCGTAAAGTGCTCATCTGCCTTCTGTTAGTCACAGCCTAGATTCTGATGGTGCTACAGTCGTGGAGGTCCTTCCATCAGTAATAATGATAAATTATGTATCTGGTTCTAAGGAAATATGTGGTCAGGATAGAAATGACCAGAACGCATCAGCAACAGAACGTTTGCCCACCGCCAGGAGCTCAGTTCTTTTCGTTATAATGACCTAATGATAATAAAGGATATTTATAACCCTCAAACATATCTTTTTTAATTTTTAATTTTTATCTTGAGACAGGGTCTCTGTAGTCCCAGCTGTCCTGGAACTCACTATGTTGACCAGGCTGGCCATGAACTCACAGACATCTGCCTGCCTCTGCCTCCCTAGTCCTGGGATTAAAGGTGTGCGCCACCACACCCAGCTCAAACATATCTTTCTAAAGGGAAATTTGCTTTGTTTTTTCTTCTGCTATTCAGAATTAAGGCTCAATTTCTATTGTGTGTCTCTCTATGTGTGTCTGTGTGTATACGTGTCTGTGTATCTCTATATGTGTGTGTCTGTGTCTGTATCTGTGTCTGCGTGTCTGTGCGTGTGCATATCTTGTATGTGTCTGTGTGTGTCTCTATATGTGTGTGTCAGTGTGTTTCTGTCTGTCTTTGTGTATGTCTCTCTATGTGTGTGTGTGTTCATGTGTATCTGTGTGTGTCTCTCTGTGTCTGTATCTCTCTTTGTGTGTGTCAGAGTGTGTCTGTGTGTGTCTCCCTTTGTATATAACTGGTGTCTGGGTGTGTACGGAACAGAGAAGAAAGGCAAGAGGAAGGGCTGGCTCTCACTTTCGTTTTGCTGGAGAAAACTTGCTCCCGCTGTTCTTAGCTCTCATGCACACTCAAGAGCACAGAAATAGATGTAGCCAGGCATGTTGACACATCTGTAATCCTATCACTCAAGAGGCTGAGGCAGGGGGATCATGAATTCAATACCAGCCTAGGCTACACAGTGAGAACCTATCTTTAAAAAAAACAAAAAACAAAGTGAAACAAAAACCCCACAAAAGATGGATGTAGAAGCAGACCAGATGGCACTAGACATGTGCCCAACCCACCCAGGGCTTCTATCCTGACTTGGGGTGTCTGAGAGAAGCTGAGAGAAAGGACAGTCTGCATTTTGTAACACCGTAACCAACGGTGAAGACTCTGCTTCCCACCCTTGTCTCTCCATCCTGCTGCAGGCACTCAAGCCTGTATTAAATGAATCAAATGAATTAAAAAATTCATTTATTATTTTTATTTTATGTGTATGAGTGTATTGCCTGCATGTGTGTAAGTGCATCCATGTCATGCAACACCCACAGAGGTCAGAAGAGGGTGTCAGATCCCCTGGAACTGGAGTTATGAACAGTTGTTAGCTGCCATGTAGATGCTGGGATTAGAACCCAGGTCCTCTGCAAGAACAGCTGGTGCCCTTAACCGCTGAGCCATCCCTCCAGCCCCCAAGCCTCCACTGCTTCACCATTGGGACTGTCAACCTGAACCACCTTCTGTGGGTCAAGTCATTAATGGCTCTACTCATTTTAGTGACACTGACTTAAACATTCTCAAAATGATAAGGTAAGGGCAGTAGGCACGTGTTATTTTTGTGACTGAACACAATAATAATATTAGATAATTAAAAACTAAATGCTTCCAATGTCACAATTACTAAAATACTGACACTTTTCATATTTCAGAGCCTTTGTGGTAAGCACAGTGGGGTGCTTTGTGTTGCTGGCCCTGCCCTGATGAGCATCACTCACCATATAAAATGTAGGTCCCCAGGGGTTTAAGAAGACTGAGCCCTTTGCCAGTGTTGTCCCCACACAAGCAGTCCAAAACGATGTCCACACCTTCAGCAGAGATCCTAAACAGCAAGAAGGCAAAGAAAAATATTGTAACCTGCCAGGAACCACACAGTGGGGTCCTTTCCCTTCCTGTGTCATCGCATCTCTCCCAGAATACAGCCTGTGAGGTTGCTAGGAGAATCAGATGCTCCTTATGATAGTTTGATTGCTAATGTTCTCCATAGGCTCAAATGTCTGAACACTTGGTCCAGTTGGTGGTGCCGTTTGGGGGAAGCCATGGAACCTCTAGGAGGTGCTTGAGGAAACACGTCACTGTGGGGGGCTTCAAGAGCTCATAACCTTGCCCCACTTCCAGCTTGCTCTCTCTCTCTGCTTGGTTTAGGATGTGAGCACTCAGCTTTCTGATCCTGCCCGTTGTTGCCATGCCTCCCTGCTATGATGGACTGATAATGTTCTGGACCTGTAAGCCCAAATAAATTCTTCCCTTTATAAGCTGACTTGATCATGATGTTGTATCACAACAAAAGAAAAGTAACTAATATGTTCCTTGACTTACTGCAGGTGCATTCTGATAAGCTCCGTATAATCTGAAAATATTCTGAGTTAAAATACATTGAATCCTTGGGCCAGTGAGTTAAGAGCACGGGCTGCTCTTGCAGAGGACCTGGGTTTGGTTCCCAGCACCCACATGGCAGCTAACAATTGTCTGTAACACCAGTTACAGGGGAATCTGATGCCTTCTTCTGAGCTCCGCAACCATTGCCTGACACAGGTGCACTTATATACATGTAGACAATACACTCATACACATAAAATAAAAATAAATAAAATATTAAAAAATACATTGAAACCATCTAATCTATCAAGCAGCATAGCTTAGCAACATAGCATACTTCAGAACACCAATGGTTTACCATCACAACATATTGCTAGCCCAGGAAATGCTCATCTGAAATATGATTTCTACCAAATGCCGATTGCCTTCAAAATGGCCTACGTCAAACCACTGTGAGTTAGACACTGTCTGTGTAAGGATTTCACAAAGCTGGAGGCAGCTAAATTTCACGACCCAGCCTGGGGTAGAACAGTGAACAGAGACACTAGAGTCAGAAAGTCTTACTTCCTGTCTAGCTGTCTCATTAAAACTCTGAGCCTGAGCTCTCTCTTTTGCAAAGTGGAGCTAGTATGTTTCTTTGTGCAGAATGAAATGAGGAAAGGAACAAGATGATAGGCCCAGGGTTGTCGTGGGGCAGCCATTCATTCTTCCAGTCAGCAACTCTTAGCTATGGAATATGGCTGCTGTACCAGGTGCTGTCCATGGTTCTGAAAAAGTCACCCACGAAACCAACCTGTTCCCAGTGTACCTGGAGCTGCTGTTCCAGCCCAGAGGCTGGATCTAACTCATGAACTTCTGTTCATCTGGTCTCTAGATACACCCCAAACAGATTCTTAGAGGAAGTGGTTAATGGGGAGGTTTTCCTTTAGTGACAGAAGGATGTGAAGTAGAGAAAATCCACATGCTTGCCACTGGGCAGGAAGACATTGGTTAATGTCTCTGAGTCATTGTTTATCCATCCATGATTCACTCATTCAATGCAATGAACAACCATTGGATGTTTTTTCCTTCTGGAAGACATCAAATAGGAGGGGCGGTAGGCAGGAATGCTCTGGAAGTTGTGGGGAAAATGCTTTGCCCACAGAGATCCTTGTGGCTGGCCTTGCTCTGTTAAGACAGGAGTGGTATTCTTTTCAGATTTGTGAGTATGAAGAATTCTTGACTTAGTACAAATCTCAGTTTTTTTCATGTCATCCTGATGCCAGTAATGTTCAGGCACCACAGCCCATGTTAATTGTTGGGTCTTCTTCCCATGCACTAGGAAAATGTGTATGTATCTCTGAGCTTGGACGCCAAGGTGCCCACCCTCTGCCCCATGGCAATTTTCTTGCTGTGTATGCCCTTGAATGCCTCTGAGAGATATCCAAATTCCAGCTCACCACTCAGCCACAGCCACAATATTTACCTTCTGAACCTTATAAAACCCTTTAAAAATTCAAATTACATTTATTCATTTTTATTTCTGTGTCTGTGCACACCATGGTACATGTGTGGAGGTCAGAAGATAACTGTGGGAGTCAGTTCTCTCCTTCCACCATGTGAGTCATCAAGCAGTCAATGCCCTTACCTGCTGAGGCATCTCACAAGCCCCAATATTTTTTAAATTGAGCTCTTCACCTATGTTTTCTATTTGTTCTCATCTAAAAGTTTAGAACTAGGGACTTAGGACAGTCAGTCTCAAAGCGACTATGCACCAGGAGCTGGCAGCTGGTTAAAACACAGACCACCAAGCTCCATGACCCCCACTTCTCTGAGTTTCTGGTTCAGCAGGTCTGGACTGGAGCCCAAGATTTGCTTTTCTACCAACTTACCACACGCTGCTGCTGTCAACTCTAGATCCACACTTTGAAAGCCATTGGTCTAATCTGTCTTCAAGAGCTAAAGTGACATTCTAAAATTAATTATTTTGCTCATTAAATATTTATGTTTTTATCACAGAGAGCCCTACGGGAGGCAATGAAGATATAAAGGTGAACCCCCAAATGTGATTTATTCCTTCTTTGAGGGGTTGCATTAAACAGACATTCACCAGTTATTCCACACACAAAAAAATGAAGATGGGACAGAATCTAGTGCCACAAAGGTGCTGTGACTCTGTGGGAATGGAGGGTTTTCCCAGCACCAGGTCCAGAAGTCTTCAGGATGGTCACAGCTGCCACCATGTTCACTGTGAAAAGAATCTTGGGCATTCTTCCCACGGGATCAGTAGCACCATCATCAGCAGAGCCAGTCAGCTCAGATGCCCAAGGCCCATCATTGTTTCTGAGGGTGTCACACCACTTGTGTGTATATAGTAATTACACAGGAGCAGAGTGGTGGGCTGAGGGTCAAGGCAGCTGTTGTGTCTGTTTCCTGATGCTGCCATAAATTTCTGTGGATTTCAAACCACCAGCTCCAGCCAGGGACTCTGTGGGCCAAACTCAGCAGCAATGTATTTTGGAATTGCTCATCTAAGATGCATGCCTGTCCTTTTGTCTCTATCCCTGGCCCCTGTAGACTGAATGCAGCCTCTGCTTCCACTCAGTCAGATGGGGGAAGACTCTCTTGAGTACAGGGAGGTTCCCAGATAGCCATTACTGGGAGAGAAAGCCTTTGACCTTGCCAAGAAGCAAGCATCTCTCTGCTGTGACCTTGATCACTGCTGATTTCTTGGGCCTCCACTTGGCCTTCTCTTTCTGGATCCTCTGTGACCTGAGAACTCTCCTGCACCATAGCTTTTAGCATCCTTGTTATGTAGTAAGTTCTTCACAGTGTGCCTGGCACACAGACTTTTCCCAGAGGGCTGGGCACAGTTCTTAGCACCCAATAGACTTCTCACAGAGTGGTAGGCACAGTGTCTGGGGGTATAGCAGCTCTCTTAGAGGCCTAGCTTTAGTTCTTGGCACACAGTAGGCTTCTCACATGGTGATAAACACAGTACTGAGGCATAGTAGCTTTTCACAGGGTGCTAGGCACAGTGACTGATATACAGTAGACTTCTTACAAATGCCAGGCACAGTGCCCAGCACACAGTAGGGATCTCATGGGATATCTGGCACACAATAGGCTTGTTTTAGAGGGCTAAGCATGGTACTTTTCATACAACTACAGCCTTTAAGTTGGGCAGCTTGGCTTCCTCATCGGTTTAAGGGTGAGCCTCCCCTCTTGCCTTTGGGAGAGTGAACCTGGATGGTAGAAAGCTCAAGTTCTGGATCCAGACCATGAGGGGTGAGTCCTACCACGTGTAGGTGTGTGAAAGGTGTTTATTCTATACCTTGGCTCCTCCCATAAAAAATAAGGACACTGTCTATGTCTTAAAGTTTTCTAGGCTCTGAAAGAGAGCTCCCAAGTATCCTCCAGAGCTTTAGTTAGATGTCACTTCCATGTGTTCCCCAAATGCCCAGGACGTCCCTAACAGGTGCTAACTTAATTGCTTATGTCTTTACTGTCTCTACTAGTTTGGACATTTGACATAGGATGTGTGTCTTGTTCACTGTGTCTGTATATCACATTTGTATACATCAATAATATTGAATGAATGAATGGATGGACATAAGATCTTCACAGTGTACACTATTTCCACTAAATGTTTGATTTTTAAGGCACATTTAAGCAGACTTATTAAGATATAATTTATGAGCAATACATGGTATGGATTTAAAGTGTGCAGTTCAGAGAGCTGTTGACAGTTCACACCTGTGAAATCCTTCACCACAATGAAGTAATGGGTGCATACTTCCAGTCCAAAGATTTTCCCAAATCATTTTGCAAACCAGGAAGAGCTGGGTGGGACAGAGTCCATGGAATCACAGACCTCAGAGGGTTAATCTGGCCATAAGTCTCAGTTTTCTCATCTGTGAAGAGGTGGGATTGTTCCATGTTAGACTGTGTGAGGTGCTTGTGTTGGACTGTGTGAGGCGCTTGTTGGACTGTGTGAGGTCTCGTCCATCTCTAAGTGGGAATAGCTGACTAAGCACAGCTGCTCTCACCTGCCTTGCCCTGTCCCAGCAACCCTTGCCTGGGGTTTGTTCCTATATTTCCTGCCTCCTTTGCACCTTCCAGGATCCTGTGGGGGCTATTCATGTGGCCCCACTCTCTGGTCTTCCTAAGATCAGAGAGCTCTGGGTACTTAGAGTCGGGTGCACATGACTTGATTCGGGCTTCCTAACTCTTGCCTGGTTTTACCTGTGATTATGTCCTTCCAAACACAGAGAGGAAAACTGATACAAAGGTGAACTCTGTGTCTGAAATATTTTTTCTTGGTCTTGGGAAATGACTCAGTTGGTGAAGTGCTTGCCTCATAAGCATGAGGACCTGAGTTCGAGTCCCAGAACATGTAAAAATGCTGAGCATGGTGTAATCTCAGCACTAGGGAAGCAGAGCTGGGAGGACCCCTGGGGCTCAATGGCCAGCTAGTCCAGCCAGACTGGTGCTCTTCAGGCCAATGAGATACCTTGTCTCAAAAGAGGTCATCAGCACTCCGGAGAATCAACACGCAGCTTGCTTGAACACACACACATGTTTATGCCTGTGCACGTGTACACACACATGCATTAGAAAAGAAATATTTTTTCTCTATTCTCTTTCCAGTGCCTGGCTAAGGGCTTGGTGTGAATTCCAAAGACGTTTTCCAGGTGGCTGGTTTATAAGCATTTACATTGCAGTGTATTTGATTCTATTATCTTTCTCTAGTTCATTGTACACAGAATACTGTAATCATGTCTGTGATCAAAAACCTTAGAGAAGAATGGCTCTGCATGGCGCTTTACTACATGTGAGGGGCTGGGTGCTCTCCCTGTCATTTTATGCCCACATTCACAGAGAATTTGTACAAAGCTGTAGTTACAGTGTTGATGGAGCTCCACATTCTGCACCTTTCTGTCAAATGCCACCACAGACATTTTTTTCATTTTGTGACACGGTCTTCATAACTGTTCTTTCTAAAGGCTGTATACAGGAGCACGGCGGGAGGGGATAGTCTAACTTCCTGCTCTGCTCACCTCCTGCTGATGGTGGAGCCTGGCTCGGATCGGCACTGTCAGAGACAGAGCTATAATTCATTGTCGACATATGCTGAGTGCTGATGACCATGCGGAAGCAGGGCTCGACTCAGCAGCTGTATCTGTAGCTTTGATGCTGCTCTGGACTGTTTCTGAGGCTAGGATTTCTGGGCAAAGATTCTATGCACATTCATGGCTCCTCAGCCATTTTCAGTCTCTACAGGGTCTCTACTTAAAGCGAGCTGTTGGAAGTCACATCTGAAAGCAGGTGGTGGTGAGCTGGGTCTCAGATCCTGTTCCCCTCTGCTCTTCTGGTAGGAGAAATCACTGATTCAGGGGCTCAGAAAACAAGTCAAGGACAGGGAGGGGCTGAGGGATAGAGTAGCTATGTGGGAAATGGGGAAGGCAGGAGTTCCCTGGTTATGGGCTTGCATTTCCATTTGCTGAGAACAGCTGTGGTGTTCTACCTCCTTCTCTTAACACTCCCCACATCCAGCTACCGTGGGCTCCCTTCAGAATCCTGAATTTACTTAGGAATTTAGTACATGCTGTTCCCCCTAATACAAAATGTGCTTGTCCTGCCCAACGTCTCATCTTTTAACACTCAGCCGAGTCTTCCTGAAGCTAAAGTTACATCTCATTTCTCCAGTAGCACCTTGTGCTTCCCCACCAGAGCATATGTTAAAAGTACAAACTGGTATAATTTCTACATAGCTTTAAATTATTTTTTGTCCCATCTTCCCCAACTGGGTTCCAAGCCCCACAAAACCAGAGCCTCTCCAGGTGGTTATTGCTGTATCTTTTTCCCTGACACAGGTCCAATCCCAGCTCACATACTCAACACACATTTATTAAGCAGTAGGTAGATGAATGAAAAACATCACTTGAGATGAAAGAAAAGATTATTGAAAGGACAGATCATTTTCCAGACCACAGGTGGAGAAACTCAAAACGAGTATGAACTAGGCAAACACAAGCCTTTAAAGTTAGCCTGCGATCTCTGCCCCTCTGAGAAACAGGGTGGACTTCTAATATTTAGCTTTAAGGCTCTTATTTTATGTCCTTCTGCAAATACTGAGACATTCTTACATACAAATTGTGCTCATGTGCGTGTGCACGTGTGTGTGCACAAATGGAGGCCAGAGGTTGACATTGGGCGTCTTGTTCAATCAACTTTCTACCTTATTTTTTGAGGCAGAGTCTCTCATTGAATCTGGAATCAGATTTGGCTAGACTGGCTGGCCAGCAAGCCCCAGGATACCTCCTGTCTCTGCCTCTCCTCTCCCCACTGCTGGGATTATGGGCATGTGCTGTTGGGCTTGACTTTTTTACATGGATTCTGGGAATCAAACTCAGGTCCTTCAGTTTGCACAGTGAGCACTTTAATGAATGAGCCGTACTCCTGGCCCTGTATATAAATCCCTAGATTTAGAATTTAAAATAAATCTGAAACTTTGACTCATCAGAAAAATTTCCTAAGAAATTCCCAAGTTTCAGGAGATCTGCTCTAAATCCATCTACTTAAAGATCCTCTGCTCTGTCCCTTTCCATCTTAATTTGTGATTTGGAGAACATGTTCCTTCACTATGATGCTGGCTGGGCCACTTAATACATTTGGGCTTTATAATTTAGTGATAGAAAGTGAAAACAGCAAAGCAATAGCTCCCAGCCACCACTGAATCCTTCAGTAGCCCTGAGTTGAGCAGACCCCAAGAGCAAGCCCGAATCCCTGGGGGCAAAGCACACGAATGTTACAGCTGTGGCAGCTGGTGTCCATACACAGCCATGACAGATAGTTTCTGGATCACAGGTGGAATGTGGAGCAGGTATAAGCAACATTACCCTGGATGACCGCAACAGCTGAAGACTGCCTGCCTGCTTCTGAATTACCCTGCACACAACAGTGATTGGCCACGGAGATCCCAAAGCTGATCATATCACCATGTTAGTCTCTCACACAGGTTGGAGTCCACAGTTCCCAAGTTGGTGTATGAAGTCTTTTTTTTTAATAAAAAAATTATTGTTTTTATTTTATGTGTATGAGTGTATTGTCTGCATGCATGTAAGTGCACCTATGTTGTGCAACGCCCACGAAGGTCAGAAGGTGTCAGATCTCCTGGAACTGGACTTACGGACGGTCGTTAGCCATCATGTGGGTGCTGGGAATAGAATCCCGGTCCTCTACAAGAGCAGCCAGTGCTCTTAACTGCTGAACCATCTTTCCAATGCCCGGTATATGAAGTCTCAATGTGATTCTGATACCTGTCTCCCTGCTCGGAGCCACCTCACTTCCCTCCATCCCTTGCTACCACAGGTGCCTTTTTGTCAATATTGTAATTAGACCATAGAGTCAGATAGTCAGACATCCCTGGACTTGCACCCTGTTAAGCTTTCTTGCTGTTTTCCCAGGCTTTGAATTTCTCCCACTGCTTAACATGCATATACCTGCCTCTATCTCTAGAATATCCTCCTCCAAGCTCCCTCTTCCTACAGGTAAATGCAGCTCAGGCTTCACTCTCCAGAAAGGTACACTCTGTGCAGTGAGAGCATGGGCCCCAAGCCAGAGTGCTTGGTATGAACTGAGGCTCCACCATTCACCATCCATGTGGGCCAGATCTGCCTGCTTGGATGCTGTTCTTCAGTTTGCTTTCAGGGAAGTATGGCCTAGGACCTGGACATTACCTCAAATATGGGAAGAGTGTATACATTCATCCAGGATTGACTACTTAGAAATCTCCCTGTGGTTGCTCTTTTCTTCCATCCAGAAGCAAAGGACTCTAAGACCCAGACCAATGACAGAACCAAAATATGAAAAGAGCCTACCAGAATGCCCTTACCAATAATCATTCACCTGGAGCTGTTACATAAATGAGAAATAGATGTCTATGTGTTGAGGCAGCCTGGTAGCAGGTAGCATAATGTTAACACATTAATTCTGCAAGTTTTACAACTGATCTCTTCAATGGGTCTAATAACAGGGCGGTTGAAAGCCCTTGATGGACTGACACATGTGAAGTACGCAGCACAGAGCTCGTAATACCCACTCCCATACAGGCTTACTCTCATCATCATCCATAGCCATGTTTTAAATGAATGCTACTGGTCTTTAAGAGAAGAGCAGCAGACAGCGTGGTGCTCCTCAGAGCCTCCTTACCTTTTCACTTCCTGAACATAGTCTGCATTTCTGTCAAAGAGGTGGGTCACAGAATCTTTGATGGCCTCATGCTTGAAAGTAGACGCGGTTCCGAAGACAGTCACATTGGGGACTGTAGAACATAGCTGAGCCACAGCTTGGCCCTGGAAATGACACAGAATAAGCAAGTCACACATGAGAACCACCATCTCGAGTGGGATGTTGTATAACATGGGTTAATAATACAGCACAAAGCATGACACTTAATAGATGCTCAATATGTCTTAATTATCTGATAGCCAGTCTTGCTGGGTATAGAGCAGAATTTCACAACTTTGGCATGAATTTAAGTTTGAATTCATATTTTCTGAATGGGGGCTGAGCTGAGTATCATAGAGTATTCATCACCATCCCTGGCCTCTACCTCCTAGATGTCAGGAACATCTACAGTTCAACTGTGACAACCAAAGATATGTCCAGGCATTACAGCATATCCCCTGGAGGATAAAATCTTACTTGACTAAGAACCACTTGTGTTGGGTGAGACCAGCAGGAGCCAGCAAGCCCCAATACCAAACTTGGCATTTATTTAACCACTCTGAGCAATGTAGGCCACAATGTTGCATACACCACAGGAATCTTGGAGGATATCTTAGTTTGGCTTCCTCAGAAGCAGATCCAGAGCAAGCATTTGAACATAAGTACTTCATTTGGAAGGTGATCTCAGATGATAACAAGGTATTAAGACCCAATGGAAGTGTCAGGGAGATGGCTCGGTCAGTAAAGTGTATGCCTTGCAAAGCCAGAGGCCTGGATTTAACCCCCAGAACTTACATCAGAAAAGAAAAAGAAGGGCGAGAAAAGGAAAGGAAGGAAAAAGCCAGGCATGTTGGAGCATGCTCATAATCCCAGTGCTGGGGAAATAGAGACAACAGGATTCCTGGGGCTTGCTGGCCAGCTGGCAAGTCCACTGGACATGGTCCAGGCCAATGAGAAAGCCTGTCTCAAAAGAAAGATGGATAACGCCTACAGAAGGACATTCAAGATTGTCTCCTGGCCTTCACACTTGTGAGCACACATGTGCTTCTGCATGAACACAGGCATGCACACACATGCACTCTCCTCTCCAAAACATAAAAAACCTGAAAGAAAGCCAGGTGATTTAACCCAATAGTTCAGTTCCATAACTACAACACTTATCAGAATCCAAAAAAAGGCATCTGACCAAGGACATGTTATCAAATGCCTATCTACCAGGGGCATCCAGACCTCAGTCTCTCTGACCATGATGTCCATGACCAAGAGCAAAACATACCTCAGAGTTATGCCAACCAAAGGGTGGAGAAGGCTGAAGCATCATCCACCTAATTAATTTCCATCTGGTACTGATGGAAGAGTACTTCTGAAGCAATAACACTTGATACATCTGGCTTGTCCTCATGAGCCAAGGGTGCTCCATGGTCAGATGGAAGCCCACAGCTAGTGACCTTCAGCATGCTGTGTGTGGCCTAGATATGACTGACAGCATCTGCTACAGGGAAGGGTAAATGAGGCATTATCCAATGCAAATCGAGGACCTGGGACCTACTCTAAATAGATACACAATTAATCTTGATTATCTCTTGTCGTCAGGGGCTTATTATATCCAGGGTTAAAGATGCCCAGGGAAATAAAGAAAAGGTCAGCATGTGTTTAAATAGCAAGTGGTTGGGGGCGGATTGTAAATGCAGTTAAGGGGTGGGTGATTGTCCATCTTCTCTACCAATATAGTCAATAATTAAGACACTGGACAAAATGTTGCGACTCTGTGCATACCGGAACCTTCCAGTAAAACCCAATTTGTTGGTAATTAAGATGTATTAAAAACTGCCATCTCTTTCCAGCATTCCATTTGCTGTTTTAGGAAGGAAAATAATTTTACCAGACTCATCTGTGGTACTCATTCCTGCCTATCATCTTATTTTCATGTCTTCTTGTTGGTAGATAATTCAAGTTGGCAGATCAGTTTATGGAAATGTTATCTCATCACCAGGAGCAATTAAAGGCAACATGGAGAGTCTCTTAGAATGTCAGGGTTGAAGATCACCTGGTGCCAGCTCACTAGCATTGTTTTGTAGATGAGGGAAAGGGTGTCCAGAAAGGTCAAAGTCACTGAAGTTTTTCGGAGGTCTCTGGGATTCAAACTAAGGCTTTCTGACTCTAATTATTGCCATTTTGTATTATTCCATTCTGTCAATTTATTTTGACATTTTAAGCTAAGCAATTAGAAGTTGCTGCCTAAAATAGACATGTCATTAGGAGGCCGACATTTCAGAACATGGGTATAAAGCCTAAGACTGTACATACAGCAGAGTCCTCTGTGTGAAGTAGCTTTGATATCCATTTAGCATTTTATCACAGATTTCATGGGACAAAGGGGGCTCTATCCTTCTAAACCAGTGTGTGCTGCTTAGCTTCTGTTTCAACTTGACATACTTGGGAAGTTCAATTGAAGAATTACCTCCACAAGACTGGCCTGTGGCCATGTCTGTGAGGCATTTCCTTAATTGCTAATTGGTGTGTGGGGGCCCAGCCCACTGTGGGATGGTGCCATCCCTGGGCAGGTGGGCCAGGGCTGCATAAGAAAAGTAGCCGAGCCATTAACAGTTCCTCCATGGTCTCTGCTTCAGTTCCTACCTCCGGTTTCTTTTCTTGAGTTCCTGCACAACTTCCCTCAAAGATGGACTGTGATGTGGAAGTGTAAGATGAAATAAACCCTTTCTTCCCCATGTTACTTTTGGTCATGGTGTTTTATCACAGCCACAGAAAGTAAATATCTATCGTCAGCCTATGCTATAACTCCTTCAAAGTCACTGGCCTCAAATAAGCTGTGGTTGCTGCTCTAAATTCACAAGACTTGAGCAGATCTTGTTAGAACTGGGAGAGGGGGTTAGAATTAATTGTAATATCCATATAGTCCTTTGTTTTGCCTTTAGGCAAATGTGACATTTATTCTTTCAATTGCTTCCTAAATTCACATCGTGTAGTGCAGTGCTGTGACATTTCTCTCTCCCTTGTCTGTCCCCCCAAAACAACATATCAAATTCAACTCATCCAAATCATAATTCATGACCACCTCCGAACGGACTGCTCTTTAAATGTTTGCTAGGAATGCTCTAAGAAGTGCCACACTGGGTAGCTTCATAATACAAACTTTTTATCTCACAGTCTGGAACTTGAAGTCCAAAATCAAGGTGCTGATTTCCCCTGCAGGTCGTGAGTGAAGTATCTGTTCCTGGCCTCTCTCCTTGGCTTGAAGATGACCATTGGCTTCCTCCATCTCTTCGTGTTCCTCTATCCCCTGTGCCAATTTCCTGTGCCCAAATTTCCCCTCTTATGAGCACACCCGCCATATTGGATTACAGCCCATTCCAAAGGCCTCACTTTACTTTGGCTGCCACCTCTGTAAAGTCCTGCTATAGCTTGGACTGTAAACATCCCCCACCCTCAAGCCTACATGATTAAGGTTTATTTCCTAGTCTGCAGTGGTGCTGAGAGGCAGGAGAACCCTAAGGGGGGAGCTCAGTTTTCAGATCACTGAAGGAGGAGTGCCCTTGAAAGGGATATTGGCTCCCTGGACTTGTTCTCTCTCTCTCTCTCTCTCTCTCTCTCTCTCTCTCTCTCTCTCTCTGACATGAGGTAAGCAGTTTTGTTCTACTGAAACTCCCACCATGAAGTTCTGCCTCCACAAAGGTCTAATGTAAAAGTCAACAATCATGGATTGGAACCTCAAAAATCAGGAGCCAAAAGAAATCTTTTATCTTTATAAGCTGACTTATCATAGGTATTTGTTATAATCATGGGATGGTGGCTAACACAGACCTTGTCTCCAAATAAAATCACGTTGTATGGTACTGAGGGTGAGGTAGGAACTTGGGGGTGGGGGTTGCAATCCAACCCACGGCACTGTTTTCTACGTTGCTGCATCTCTAGATTGTGCTGAGCCATTCAGCCACTAAAGTCAGTGTGGAGGTTTGTATGAGAATGTTCCCCAGAGGCTCAAAGTATTTGGGCATTTTGTCCCCAGTTGGTGGTGCTGTTTGGGAGGTGTGGCCATGCTGGAGAAAGCATGTCACAGGAGGGCAGGCTTTGGGAGTTCTTAAGCCTTGCCAAATTTCCCATAGCTCTCTGCTTCCTGTGCCTGTTTGAGGATGGGAGTGTTCCTCTTTCTGCTCTGGCCACCTTGCAATGTCTAATCCCTCTGGAACCTGGAATTGTAAACTCAAACTCTTCTTCCTCTAAGTTCCCTTGGTCATGATGGGTTATCACAGCAACAGAAAAGTAACGGGTACCACCGGGCACCGTCCCTCACTCTTCTCCTCCCTTTTCCCAGTTAGGCAGTGTGTTGTTCTCTGTCATCAGCATCTCTTGTGACTGTCCCTTATACACCTGTGTTTTCACATTCCCTCCCCTGGATTATGACACGGTCCTCTTCTGTCAGACCTGCTGCTTCCTCACATCCTCCTGTGGTCAGAGTGACTTTTCTCAAACACAATATTTTATCATTTGTTTCAAAACTTCCTCCAAACAGGACTGGGGAGATGGCTTAGTTGGTGAAGTGTTTACTGTGCAATTATGAAGACCTCAGTTCAGATCCCCAGCAGACATATAAAAAGCTTGGTGTAGTGGGGGGTGGGAGGGTACACAGGCAAATGCCTGGAGGTGACTGGCCAGCCAGCCTAGGCAAACTGATGAGCTCCAGGTTCAGTGAGAGACTTTGTCTCAAAAACAAAGATGGAGAGTGACAGAAGAAAACACCTGAGTCCCACCATTGACCTCCATACTCACACACATGAGCATGCACACTTGTATGTGTACATAACCACAGGAACACAGACACAGACATAGACACACACACACACACACACACACACACGCACGCACTTCCCTATGTCCCTCATGACTTTCAGAGTAAAGCCTGTACCCTTTAGTGCTATCACACAATGACAGATTTCTGGGATTGGACCCAGTCTTCGGCATTCACACCCCCTCCACCCTTCTAATACCTCCTCCCTAGTAGCCTGTGATTTGAGCCACTACTGACCAGCCATTGCCCGAGCCTGGCAACCTTTGTCCCACAATATTCTCTGAACAAACCTTTACCCTTATTTTACTGATGAAGAAG